GAACACTTTTTCATATACTTGTTGGTCATTTGTATGTCTTCTTTTGAGAAAACTTTGCCCAATTTTTAATAGGATTATTATTATTATTAAATTGTTCAGCAGTTTGGGTTCCTTGGATATTCTAATATTAGTCTCTCATTGGATGCATAGTTTGCAAATATATGCTTCTATTCTGTGGGTGGTCTCTTCATTTCACTAATTGTTTCCTGTGCTGTGCAGAAGCTTTTCAGTGGAATAGAGTCCCATTTGGTTTTGTTGTCTGTGCTTTTGATGTCTTAGCCATAAAATCTATTCCTAGACCAGTGTCCTGAATGAAGTGTTTCCCTTGTTTTCTCCTAGTAGTTTTATAGTTTGGGGTCTTAGATTTAAGTCTATAATTCATCATGTGTTGATTTTTTCATATATGTTGAGAGATAGGGGTCTAGCTTTATTCTTCTGCATATAGATATTCAATTTCCTCAGCACCATTTTATTGAAGAGGGTACCCTTTCTCCAACGTGTGTTCTTGGTGCCTTTGTAAAAAGTCAGTTGGTTGAATATATTTCTGGATTCTCTATTTGATTCCATTGGTCTATGTGTCCTTAATTTCTTCCTTGATCCAGTGGTCATTCAGGAGCATATATCTTTATTTCCATGTATTCTCACAGGTTCCAATGTTTCTCTTGTGATTTACTTCTAGTTTTATTCCACTGTGGTCTGAGAAGATACTTGATATAATTTCAATTTTAAAAAAATTATTGAGACTTGGTTTTGTGTCCTACCACACAGTCTATCCTGGAAAATGTTCCACGTGCTGATGAGAAGTAGTTCTTGAATGTAGTTCTTGAATGAAATGTTCTGTAAATGACTGTTGGGTCCATTTGGTCTAAATAGATTTTCTAACTCTTTTCACTTTTTGGGGGACTGAAAATTGGAATATTTGGTTGCTTTATGGTGTCACATATGTTGTATAGGCCTTTACTCATTCTTTTTTATTCTTTTTCATTTTTCTCTGACTGGGTTATTTCAAAAGACTTGTCTTTAAAGTCTGAGATTCTTTTGTTTGATTTAGTCTGTTGTTGAAGCCTTTAAATGTATTTTGTACCTCATTCAATGAATTCTTCAGTTTCAGAATTTCTTTTTGGTTCTTTTTTAGTGATACGTATCTTTGGTGAATTTCTCATTTATATTCTGAATTGTTTTTCTTGATATCTTTGTATTGTTTTTCTGAGTTTATTTTTATCTCAATGAGCTTTTTTTTTTTTTAGACAGATCTTTGCTCTTATCACCCCGGCTGCAGTGCAATGGTAAGATCTTGGCCCTCCACAATCTACACCTCCTGGATTCAAGCAATTCTCCTGCCTCAGCTTTCCTGGTAGCTGGGATTACAGGTTTCCACCACCATGCCCAGCTAATTTTTGTATTTTTAGTAGAGATGGGGTTTCATCATGTTGGCCTGGCTGGTTTCAAACTCCTGACCTTAACGTGATCTGCCCACCTCAGCTTTCCAAAGTGCTGGGATTACAGGCATGAGCCACCAATCTTGGCAATGAGCTTCTTTAATATCAGTATTTGGCTTTCTTTACTTGGGATCTTATAAATGTCTTTTTCACTGAATTCCATTCCTAGAGAATTGTTGTGTTCCTTTAGAGATGTCATATTTCCTTGCTTTTTTATGTTTGTTTTTACATTGATATCTGTGCATCTGGTGTAACAGTCACTTCTTGCAATTGGTTACATGCGTTTTCATGGGAGAGGCCTTTTTCCTGAAGCTGTATCTGTGGTGTTGGTTGAGTAGGGCACTTTGGTTTTGATTCTGGATGTGTGCAGCAGTGTAGTCTCTATGTGATTTCTTCAGTCATTAACAGTGGCAGTGGTGTCTGTATTTCTTTGAAAGCTTAGGGTGGGGTGGTTCGTGGAGGCTGTGGTGAAGTTTTGCTGGAGACTGGAATGCCATGCGGGCCAGTCTTTGGGCTTTAGTGGCAGAAGTGGTGGACCAAGTGTGACTGTTCCTGGGTTCTGGGGTGATGGATGCTGACATTCGTATTATCTGGTCCAAGCAGGCCAATTCTTGGCCTCCAGGTGATTTGTTCAAGTACCACAAATGGCAGCAGTGGGGCAAGAAGGTGAGCAGGTTTTCTGGTCTCCGGACAGTGGCATGGTGTGGGTGATGGCAGTAGCACTGTTGAGACAACCTCCTGGGACTCAAGCGGTCTACACTGATGTTAGTGGTGGCTCCGATGGGCTGAGCAGGCCAGTCCTCAGGCCCCATAGATTGTGTGTTTGGGCAGGTGCCAGCTGTGGTGTGCTGGGCTAGGCAATCCCAAGGCCTCTGGGGGGCATGCTTAGTTACTGGGGGAGGGCAGAGCTCTACTTCTGGGGAGCGCAGGATTACTTTCAGTAGAAGCGGCCATAGGCAGGCGGCTAGAGGTGCACCATTAGCTCATGGTTTAGTTCTGCAGAAGCCCTGCAGTGGCAATGGCTGTGGGCCGTGAAATCTGTGCCAGGGATGTGTGAAAATGTGCAGCTGCTCCTCTGCTTGGGAGGGTAAGTTGCTGCCAGTGGTTTCTGTCTTGGCTCCATTAGAGGCACCTACAGTGAGGTCTAGCAATGTGGAAGTGTAGAAGTGTTTGGGCCCCAGAGCAAGATGCTGTGTGGTGGGGACTGGCTTCTCAAAATGGCATCCTGCTGCAGCTACTTAGGACCTGGGTGTTCCTGGGACTCTTTGTGAGCTCCCTTTCTGGAGTACAGTCTTCAGGCTATTCTTTATGTCACTCAGGGCCTGCAAGGGTCAAGGAGCTTTCCAATGACTAGACTGCAGGAGTCTGCAGTGGCAAAATGGACCACTGGGGGTCTCTCATTTACTCTTTACCTGCATTGGAAAGCTTCTCCAGGCTCCTGGTCAATTCCAGCTGAGCAGGCTGCCCTGCTTCCCTTTCCTTCCTTGCTTTCAGTGTTTCCCATCCCTTGTCAGATAAATTCCAGTGTTTTCTCTTATATAATCTATTCAAAGTATAATTAACTACTTTCTATTTGGTTCCTCTTTGTGGAAGGAGTGAGTACCAGATGCATTTAGTCAGCCACCTTGAACTGTTCGGTCCCCTAGTAATTCTTTTACTTTATTGAGGAACCTCCATGGTGTTTCCCAAAATGGTTGTACTAATTTACAATACCACCAATCATCTACAAGGGTTTGGGTCTTTTCAATTCCTCAACAACACTTAATATCTTTCATCTTTTTGTAAATAGCCAATCTAACATATGTTAGGTGATACCTCCCTGTGGTTTTAATTTACATTTCTCTGATGACTAGAGATGTTGAGAATTTTCTTATATATCGGCTGTTCACTTGCATATCTTTATTTGAGAAATGTCTTTTCAGGTCTTTTGCTCATTTTTAATATAATTATTTGTTTTCTTTTTACTGAGTAGTTTGAGTTCCTTGTATATTTTAGATATTAGCCCTTTATCCAATATACGATTTGCAAATATTTCATCCCAATCTGTGGGTTGTCTCTTCATTCTTTTAATTGTTTTCCTTTTCTGTGCAAAAGGTCTTTAGTTTTATGCAGTCTCATTTGTTTATTTTTGCTTTCATTATATGTGCTTTTGGACTCTTAAGAAATCACAGCCCAGACCAATGTTATGGAGCTTCCCCTTTATAGTCCCTACTATTAGTTTTACAGTTTCAGGTCTTGCATTTAAGTCTTTAACTGGTTTCGAGTTCATTTTTGTATAAGGAGTGAAGTAAGAGTCCATTTTCACTCCTCTGCATGTGTATATCCAATCTTACCAACATCCTTCATTGAAGAGACCAACCTTTCCCCATTGTGTGTTCTTGGTACCTTTGTCAGACATCAATTGACCATAAATGTGTGGGTTTATTTTGGGGCTCTGTATCCTATTTCATTGGTCAATGTGCTGTTTTTGTGCCAATACCATGCTGTTTTGATTACTATAGCTTTGTAATCTATTTTGAAATCCAGTAGTATGATGGCTCTAGCTTTAATATTATAATTTTTTATATGTTATTAGGCTAAACATTGGATAAACTGTCATAAGTCATTTAGTCTATTACTTCTCCTGGGAAACTTTGGTTGAGTTCATTTTATTTTTTGAGCTTTTATCAATCTATTCCAAAATTCTATTTAGTTTTCACTATTAAACAAATTATGTTTTCCTACCTTACTCAGGATCTGGGTTCCTCCTCCTTATGCTACTCTCGAATCTTTTTGTTGGCATCAGTTGAGGTCCTGAGTGATAGCTACGAACTCACTACCTTGTCAAACATGCAAATTTGGCTACCTTGTTAAATTTGTGTTGTATAGCTTAGGGGGCAGAGAAAATACAATATAAAGGATCTAGAGGAAAAAGACTACTTAATGAGACAACTTAACTGATACCAGCCATAACATGTATGACTATGAGAGTTGGGAAAGTACATTATTAGTTTTATGAGTTGAAATTTGCATTTATATTGTTTTCTATATCTGTAGGTGGCCTGTGAATAACTCTTAATGAATGCACATGGTTATAGATGTATACTATAAGCATTATTGTGTAGACTTGGTATACCTTAGTCCATTTTGAAAGATCAAGGTGGTGAAAGAGGTACCAATGGTTATTTTATGAGCTTTTTTTTTTTTTTTTTTTTTTTTTTTTTTTTTTTTTTTTTTTTTGGTGGTGGTTGTTGTTGAGATGGAGTTTCGCTCTTGTTACCCAGGCTGGAGTGCAATGGCGCGATCTCAGCTCACCGCAACCTCCGCCTCCTGGGTTCAGGCAATTCTCCTGCCTCAGCCTCCCGAGTAGCTGGGATTACAGGCACGCGCCACCATGCCCAGCTAATTTTTTGTATTTTTAGTAGAGACGGGGTTTCACCATGTTGACCAGGATGGTCTCGATCTCTTGACCTCGTGATCCACCCACCTTGGCCTCCCAAAGTGCTGGGATTACAGGCGTGAGCCACCATGCCCAACTATTTTATGAGCTCTTTAACCAAACAAGAAGAATTTGAACAACAGTCAAGTCAAACTTGCTGAGAACATTTATTGCTGCCAGTTGAGATTAATGAAACATAGAGTATCTTTGGTAAAGACGAACTGAGGGGAATACCACCTCTTTCTTTTGGTGACAAGCTTTTGTTAAACAGCTGTCATAATGCCCTTGCCTCTCCTGGGATGTCTTAGTGGTCATGCCTGCTCCCTAGTGACTAGCTTCGCGGAACAGTTTGAAGCCTCTTCATTTTTGTCTTTTGCCTTCGAGCAGTTCTCAGTTTTTTAGTTTTTAAGAAATTGTCCTCTAATTGGTATAAAAAATCTTCAATTCGTCCAACCTAGAAAAAATAAACAGATGCAACAAGATTCGTTGTTGGTTTCCTGGGTTTCGTATATTTACAGAAAGGGTGAGGTATTTAAAATCAATGGCACATACAAGTCCATGTTGGGACAGAACTGGCAGAAACAGAAATGACTAAACATGAAAGCCTCTTTCTGTTTCCGTGTTAGGTCCTCCTGTTTTACTAACTTAACACAAAGCAGAAGCGCGGGAGTGTGCTTTATCACTTGGTCCAAGGTATTGGGAATGGAAATGGGGATTATTGTTGCCATGCAGTTTTTAATGGTCAGTAAAACCAGGGCTTTTTTTTTTTTTTTGCTTTAAAGAAAGTGAATGGTAAATGATTAATCCATGGAAAGCCCTTTCTCCACCTTCTTTATCAACAATAAGAGTGATAAAAAACAAACAAATTTATCCCCCCTCAAAGCCAGAGATTCTAGCATTTAGATGGCCCCAACCAACATGAGAGAAAAATGAATATTTGTATAGTCTTGGCAAGAATCATTTTTACTTTCAATGAAAAGGAAATTCTGAAAGGATGCATTTTTTTAAAAAATATGCCACACTCCAGGGAATAAGGTAAAATGGTCTACACAACAATTCTTGAAAAAGAATCAGTCTTTCTCCAAGGAAAACTTACAATTCTTCAATGGCAGTTGATAGAATGTATTATACCGTTTGTCAGAAAAAAATTGTAGAATAGAAGTTTACATATATGCTGAATTGCATTCTCACGAAAGTCGGTAGATATAACAACTCATGCTTAACCCTGACTCCTAGAACCTGCATATTTTATTAGCTTAACATTACTCACTGAGGAGCTCATTGTCAGAAAGTTAACTCAAAGCTAGAGCACTTACTATTCAAGGTACCTGAACGTATCATCTACTTAAGATAAAAGCACTTACGACTTCAGTTTTCCAATTTTGAGTTCCACTTTCAAATTGCTTGATTTATCATTCAGACTAATATCCAAAGGATAATTCAGATTGTCAAAAAGAGAATAATAAATAGTAGCACTCATCATATGTTATGCTTAGGTCTTATATCATGCCAGCACCAGTGATATTCACTCTTTTTCTTTTTTTTGAGAAAACAAGATAAATTATTTATATAAAAACAATTCTTTTGAAACTCTTTTAAAAACTACTTCAGGTACATTTTTTAAAAAGCACATTGTTCTTTATGATGTCTGATCATTGCAGGACACATCAAAATAATGTGATACAATATATTTTGATTCCTCCATGAAGTCAATGCATTATTCTATGCATTCCATATCTATCTATATCTATCTATCTATCTATCTATCTATCTATCTATCTATCTGGTTTTCACCCAAATAGGACATTAAAAAATTAACCTGGAGCACAATCTGTGCAAATATAATGGATGACAGCTTACCATTACTTCAATAGTTGAGTTGGTGACTCATTCACATTATTTGTACTGACAATATATCATTTAAATCGAAGCTCTTTACAATGAGAATATTTGCAATTAGCCTATATGTAATTTAAAATTACAATTCCAATGCAGCAAAAAAGCTTCCTTTGATAAGACTGTGAAAGAATTGTTTTTAAATATCCATTAGGTGTCTTCTGCCGTCTTTTTAAAACAATTGTGTTCATTAAGAGCGGTATTGAGTAATGGGGTTGCATTGTATTTTAAAAAGACGAAGAAGAAACATAAGATGTGTCACTGAAATAAAAGAATTCTGCTGAATTAAGTGGGCAGGTCCAGAGCACATAGTATGTGCGTGCTGTACCTGGCCTATATGTTCACTTCCCACCTGGCCTGTCTCCCTCCTGTGCTTTCAATCCATCTCGTAATGATGCCGAAATGAACTTTTAAATATAGAAATCTGATCAGATCTTTCCCTTCCTTGAATTACATTACATGGCTTTCTAAACCCTTAACAGGGCCTATACACCTCTATTACTGGGTTATCAGGTTTCACTTGCATCTCTGGTGCTGTCTAATATCACCCCATCTGCTTTAGCCATGTGTTACATCTCTCAGTTATCTGAGCACAGCCATGCATTGTTCTATGCCACCTCCATCTTCCTAATGGAACATGCCCATTACAACCCTTGTGTGTCCTCTGGATTTCAGGTCAAACATCAATGCTTCAGGGAAGTCTTCCTTTAGAACCCAGGCCAAGTCGATTGTCTCAGTAACATCTTTTCGTCTCTTTAGATACTGTACTTTTTTAACTTTATTGTTTATAATGATTTATATAACATCTGCCTTCTCATCTGGACTTTCAACTCCATAAGGCAGGGACCAGGCCCACGTTCACCATTTCCAAAACCTAGGATATTATAGACCTTCAGTAACCCTACTCTCTGATAAAAGAGTTGAAGACATTCAGAAAACCATGTGTTTTTCCATACTTAAGTGAAGGCTGGACAGAAGGGTATCAGAAGGCCTTCTTTTCCTCTGTAAATTTAATGAACACGACTTTCTCAAGCCACCATTCTTTTACCATTGTTTAGCTTTGACCATTACTTGTCAAGGCAAGGTCATGACAAGGTGTTGCTTGTATACTCGAAACAGCCAGGAGTAGAAAGGACACTGGATGAGGAGTCAGCAGGAAAGCTGAATTCTGCTCTCAGCTTGGCTTATAACCCTGCTCTGTGACCCCAGGGAAATGACTTGGCCTTTCTGAACTTCAGCTTTCACCAACAGTTGGTATTAAAAGAGGGTTGGCCTGGATAATTACCAAAGACACAGCTGGTCATAAAATTCCGTGACTTAACACTCACTTCAGATCCACGCAGTCCCGTCCTATAAATGAGTACTCACATTTTCAAATCAGAGGTTATTCCCTTAGATTACACCATGAGACGAATGACACAATATGCAGCAAAGTAAGTCAATTTTAGCTTCTATACTTACTGAAGTGTAGGACAGCTGCAACATGTTTTTTAGTAAAGCTGGTTCTTTATTTTCTTTTTTTTTATGTCAAGGAAAGAAAAATGCTGGTTAAAGAGAAAATAGATTCATATAACTAGAAGAACAGATTGCAAATGATAGAAAGTTCTGTAAAGCCCTTAGGAAAATAAAATACAAAGAAATATGTAAGTACCCAAGAAAGTACACGGTTTTTGAAGCAGAGGCTTTCTTAGACTCTTTTTGGTACAGAATTTACTTGCTTAACTGTATCACATAGCCTACTCGGTCATTCTGAGTCTAATTTTCCCCTTTGCAAAATGGGCAGATAACCTTTTTTTGTGTTTATACGTGCCAATACTGACTTGACATTGCAGTGATATGGACATTAGACCAAATGAGTGTGCAGAGAATTTTAGGATGTCTGATGATTGTGGAGAACGAAATATCAGTAGGAAGGCAGGTTCATATGACTGTTGGTCATAACCCATATCAAAGAGTAAGGATATTGTCATCAGCCAGTTTCTCAATGCCTTTCAACTTGCATGTAAACACTACAATTACAGGTTAAATTGTGTTCCCCTCTAAATTTATATGTTAAAGTCATAACACCTCGGTACTTTAGAATGTGGCTTTATCTGGAGATAGGGTATTTACATAGCTAATCAAGATAAAATGAGATCCTTAGGGTGGGCCCTAATCTAAAATGACCGATGTCCTTATAAAACAGGGAAATTTGCAGACAGATGCTCACATAGGAAGAATACCATGTGAAGATGATGAAGGCAGAGATTGGGGTGATGCCCCACAAGCCAAGGTACGATCAAGAATGCAAGCAAATCACCAGAAACTAGGGGAGAGGCATGAAAGAGTTTCTTCCTCACAGCACGCAGAGGAACCAACCTTGAAGACACTGATTTCAGACTCTTAGGCTCCGGAATTGTGAAACAATACATTTCTGTTGTTTAAGCCCTCAGATTTGTGGTACTTTGCTATGGCAGCCCTAGCATGTGAATATTAACTACTAAGCCATAAAGTGAAGGGAGGAGCAATTAAGTTATAATTCTCCCCTCAAACATGACTTTGATCCTTTCCAAAATTCTCATTGCCTACTGATGTTCCCTACTTGGTTGGTACCCCCTGGCACAGGCTCAGTGTTCACCTTGGGAACCAGGCTGGTCTCTTGCCAGTAATGGTCGTAAGAAGAAGTTGATCTCAGACATGAATGAACAAGTAAATTATACTGAGAAGGAAGATGCTGGGCTTGAATTTAGGCTTCCTGTTAAATTTCATGTGGCCTGAACCAGGAGAGAGGATTAGGTGTGTTTATATGAGTTTGCTTCCACATGTTTATGCCTTAGGAATTGAGTGCTCAAAGGATATATATATATATATATTTTAATTAAAGCTCTAAAAGATTGTTTTTAAGGAAGAAAGTTGAGGAAATAAGAATAAAATTCATCAGGAATAAATATCAAGCTTATATGACTATAGTGGTAGTTACAGAACGGGAATGTGTTTTCAGTGATTAGCAGTTTGGACCAAAATCCTCTCAGCAAAACAGACTGAATTCACCCCACCACAGTGGATTTGATAACGTTAGTTTCTTTGCTTTGTTGCAGTTTAATTTCCAGACCAAAAGGTTTTAAATATTTATCATCCAAAATGGTCTGAATTTTAATTCTTATTAGAATTACAATTGTTTTCAAATAGGCTTGAAATTAATTTCTAAAATAAACTTAGTTTCTGAAACGGAGTTGTTTCTACTCTTCATAATACAGCAGTTTCCTTTAGCTTTTGGCTAGCATTCAAAGAGACAGACAAGCCCCTATATTTCTCCTTTTCCATTTAGTGAATTTGGTTTATTATTCAGTATTTTAATCATAAGAGTGTAACATAAAATTCTGGGGTACCTACCCCCGAGATTTTACAAACATGCAAAAAAAACCATGCCAAACTATATCACTGACTTGAAAATACCCATAATGATAACACTTTTCAGTATGTTTAATATAGAGTTAAAAAACTATTATAAAATTTTGTTATCACGTAGTCCAGGAAGCTATGTGTTTGTTATGGTCTGAATGTCTCTGTCCCCCAAGA